TAAGCCCTTTTCAGATGTGCATTTTCTCATCCTCTTAAACTTTACAGCTTTTTTTTTTATATTTAAATTTTTGATTAATTTAAACTTTTAGTGCAAAGAATAAGGTATAAATTCCAGATTTATTTTTTCCATATAATTATCTAGCTTTTTTAACTCTATTGTCCCCTTTTCCCCGTATCAATTTTGTTGTTGTTGCATGCCATCCAGTCAATTCAGACTCATAGTGATCCTATAGGACAGAGTAGAACTACCCCATAGCGTTTCCTAGGCTGTTTGTGCGAGCAGATTGCCAGGTCTTTTATCTCGAGGGGCTGCTGGTGGGTTCTAACTGCCAACCTTTTGGTTAACAGCCAAGCACTTAACTATTGAGCCACAAGGGCTTCTTCACCAATTTTACCTACATTTATTGTTTTTAAAAAATCCTCTTTATGAGCTTTATGTTCATTGATTTGTCTGTATATACATTTCTTGTCTAATATCAGACTATTTCCATATAGTTTTATAAGTTTTAATATCTGATAGAGCTGATTCCTATCAACCTGTAGCTATTTTTCTTTTTTAAAAAAATTCCCGGAAATTGGCACATATTTACTTTTCTAGATGAACCTTACTTTTAATTGAAATTTATATATTAATTCATGAATAATTTATACTTTTGCAAAATGAGTTGTCCTATCAAAGAACATAGTGTATGTTTCCATTTACTTAAACTTTCTCTTGCATTCCTCAATAACATTGTAAATTCTTCTTCTTTTAATTCTATACATTCACGCTAAATTTATTCTTACGTATTTTTACCTTTTGATTTCTGTATCAATTAGAGGCTATCTTCTGTAAAAAGTAACTCCAAATTTCCAGTGAATTAACCAAATAAAAGTTTATTTCCCACTTACATTGCAGTCCATTCCAGGACTGGAGGGCAGCTTTCCATTAAGGGATTCAGGGACCCAGGCTCCACCCATCTTGTAGCCCTGCCATGGAGTCATCCACAGGATATTTAGCATTTGTACAGGAGTTGAGGGAAGTTAGGAAGCAGAGGATACCATGAGGAAATATTTGGGCTCAGGTCTAAAAATAGCACATATCGCTTCTGCACACATTCTATTGGGTAAAACTAGTCACATGGCTCAAACTACATGCAAGAAAGCAGAAAACTACAGCTTTCTGCTGGGTCAAGAAAATGGAACAGTCTGATAAACATAAACATTGTCTCTGCTACAATCATCATTGCAATAGAAAAATTTTTTCTATTACTTTTTCTAAATTATAACTTTTTATATATAAAAAACTATGGACATTTATACATAACCTTGTAAATAGCCAATTTACTGAATTAACTTTTTATATCTAACAGTTTTCCAATTGTTTCTCTGGAATTTTCTAGGTATAATCATATTATCTACAGATAATACTGATTTCTCCCTGGTTTCCAATATTTCTATCACTTGTTATTTTTTGTATTTAACTTCATTGAATAGTACTTCCAAAACAATGATAGCTTATTGGGGTCAGCTGGGTTTCTCCTAACTTTAATTCGCTTCTATTTTTTATAATTTAGGATGATCCTAATTTTCATTTTTTATCAAGTTAAATACGATCTATCTTCATTTTTTTCTTTATCAGGAATGAATGTTACATTTTGTCAAGTAGTTCTCATTATATAGTGAGCTAATCAACAGGTTGTTGTATTTACCTTTAGATTTTTTTTTAAATTTATATAGTTTTATTGAAGTAGAATTTATATGTAATACAATACAGGTATTTACAATACACAATCTAATGAGTTTTGACATATGGTGGCACAGTGGTTAAGCACTTGGCTGCTAATCAAAAAGTTGGCGGTTCCAACCCAGCAGCTGCTCTGTGGGAGAAAGATGTGGCAGTCTGCTACGGTAAAGATTACAGCCTTAGAAACCCTATGGGGCGGTTCTACTCTATCCTATAGGCTAGCTATGAATCGGAATCGACTTGATGGCAATGAATTTAGTTTTTTTTTTTGTTATACACCATAAAACAACCACCATGATTAAGATAATGAAAATTTTCATTTCCATCGCCTCCCAAAGTTTCCTTATGCCTTTTTGTAATCCATCCCTCTTTTCACATTTTTCCCCAGGAACCACTAATATGCTTTATGTCAGTTCAAATTAAATTGAATTTCTAGAATTTTATATAAATGTAATTCCACAGTGTATCTTCTATTTTGTCTTTCTTTTCTTTCATTATTGGTATTTTAGTGGTTGTTTTGAGGATCAGTACAGAGACATTATGAACAATCTGTACATAATTCTTAATGTACCTACCAAAAATCTAAAAAGTCATGTGTACTTATAATTCTTTTCTAAATTCCAGCTTTAAATTTGGAGGCAAATTTTCCTTAAAAGGATATCAAGTACCAATTATCTTCAATTGTTGATAAGCTGTTACATCATAAGTCTCACTAATTCACAATTTAATATCACACACACTACACACTCAAATGTTTAACCTTTCACAGTTAGGAAAACTGGACCACCACGACCAAAGACGTTACAGAATGCAAACAGTTCTGACAGGGAGCGCCAGGATGAGGGAGCCATTTTCTTTCAGAAATAGTTTTCTACTAAACACCTACATGGAGATAGAATTTAAAATGTTCAAGACATATAAATGCATGACTGCGATTCCAAATTGCCATAGGTTCTCTATGAGTCGGAATGGACTCGTCCGCAACGGGTTTTATGCTTTGTACTATGGGATATAAAATGCCTCCTCCACCACCCCTGCCACCTATGGAATGTTACGTTAACACCCAAGACAGTCAAACCTCCCACAATTCAACATCCCATTATTTTCTGGTTATACCAAAAAATAAACAACCAGCAAATGATTTCACCTCTTAAAGAAAAAAGCATTTACACTTAAAAAATGGGATGAGGTGGGATTTCCTTCTTCTTAAAAATGTTTCTAGAGCTACTAAAAAACTTGCATTTACAAACTAATTAATTAAAAATACTCCTCTGGATTGCACAAGAAGGGAGAAACAGGGATCACTGATAAGACATGGTAGACAAACATTCATCAGACTTGGCTTCACTCTCTCCTGCTTCACTAGAGGCTGGACTCTCCTTGATTTTAGTTTCTCCATATTCTGCAGGTAAGTCTTTAGCTTCTTGGTTAGCCACTTCAGCCTGTTTTCCCTTTTCTCCTTTGCTCCCCTTTTCTCTTTTGTTTGCACTTTTTTGTCTGAAAATTTAACCTTTCCTGCTGCCTTCTGGCTTCGTTTCCCCTTTTGCTGGAGCAGGTTTAGCTAACAATGTCCCCGACCTCCTCCTGGGCTCCTCCCTCACCACAGCTCCAGCAGAGCTGACCTTCTTCCTCTTGGGCATCCTGCTGGCAGGGAGGGCCGGAGCCTGGTGCCTGCAGGCGGTGGCACGCCAAGAGCTTTCGGGAAGCTGGGCCGCCTGCCCTATTTTGTCTGGCTTTTTCTACTCAGCAAAATGATTTTGATTCTATCCATGTTGTTACCAATATTAATAGTTGCTCCTTTTGTTTCCGAGTAATAGTATACCGTATGGCTGTACTATGACTTGTTTATTAAGTCACCCGTTGATGGACATTCTGGTTATTCCCAGATTTGGGCTATTAAAAATAAAGCTGCTATAAACATTTATGTACAAGGCTTTGAAGATACTCTTTCATTCGATTTGGTAAATATGTAAATAGAATAACCGGATCATATAGTAGATGTATATTTAACTTTTTAGAAGAGCTTTATTGGTACATTTACCATACAATTTACCCATTTAAAATGTGCAATGCAATTTTTTTTAGTATATTGACAAACTTGTGTAACCCTCACCACAATCTAATTCCAAACATTGTTATCACCCCAAAAAGAAACCCATACACATTTGCAGTCGCTTCCCATTCTGCTACCTCACTATCTCCAGCTCTATATTATGTCTACTTGCTGTTTCTGGTATTTTCCTATTCTGGACATTCCATATAAATGGAAACATATGTGTTCTTTTGTAACTGACTTCTTTCATTAGCATAATATTTTTGTTACCACAATAACGGGGATTGGAGCCGCCTGCCGCAATAGCCAATTCTGAGACGGGTGAGGTGAGCAGCATGATGTTTATTATATATTGATATATAGGAGACAGAGGGGAATAGATTCCTCCAAAAAACCCGTCTCCCCCACTGGAGCCTGGCCAAAGGCTTTTATAGGGACAGGATTATGGATCTTAGAAGTTTGTGTTAATTTCTCCTTGAGGTGGTGATGTCTTAGATGAGTTAACCTTCTACTGGTATTCTTAGAGGTTATCTGGTGACATCCTTGGGGATTATCTGGTTACATCCTGCTTTTTCTTGTCACAAGATGGGTGCTTTGTTTGGTTTTTCATTCTCAGATCATTATCACTTGTTTTCCACCCTTCAGGGAGGAACATCAGTTGATCTTAAACTTTTTGTAGAGACTGGAACCAGAGGGAAAAACAAAATCATGAGACAATCTGGCAGTTAGCAATGGGGAGTAAGTAATAGTGAGCCAGGCCTATGCAGCCTCTTCCAATCCCCCTTTTATTGGAAGTTTCTCAATCTTAGGAAACAGGGTGTTGCTTCCTTTCTGGCTACTTCCTGCTGGTTAGGGGCATAAGCTAGGGTGAGAAACCTCCGGATAGCAACTAGGGGCCATAGGCGGGGCGGGGCGGCGGGGGGGCAGTGAGTTAAGAGTGTAAATTGACTGCATCTTGGTGAATTAGATGACAATCGTCTTCAGAGCTTGAAAAAGGGGCGTCCCAACTTACCAGGGTAAAAAATTTTTCTAGCCTTAGGAGTATTTGTAGTTCCTTTTGTTAATATTCTCATAAAACAGGGAACACAAAAACAAACTAGAATAATCACTATTCTTAAGGTTCCTCTTTCAGGCTCTTTTATGGCCCACTTAACTGGACCTACTGGAGTTAGGGTTGAGACTACACATGGGAGGGTCAGAATGTCCCCAGCTTGCAGGGTCAATGTCCCTTTGCCTGTAGGATCACCAGCACCTTTTCTGTCCAGGTCTCCTGGAAACATAGAAAGATAGAGGGAAATAAGGTCAAAATCATTGTACTGTAAGCTTCTTGAACTTGTAATTCAGGTTATGGGGGCTTCAGAGTATGGGGGCTCTTTGTTTTCTACTTCTTTCTCTTCTTCTGGTGGGGCTGCTTTTACTCTTGAATGATGCACCCACGCAGATATTCTTGCTAATCTCAGAGAGCAGGTGGTCAGGAAAACCTCAAAAGGTTCCTCCCACTGAGAGGCCAGTTGATCTTCTGGGGGCTGATTCTTCCAGGCCTTCAACAGGACCTGATCTCCCGTCTCTGAGTTGGAATATGTGGAGGGAAGTGTCAGAAGGAAAAGACAAACGAGAAGAAGCATACTGATGAACAGTGTTTATGACAGCTCTCAGAGAACGGACCCAGTCTCTTTTCTCTACCTCGGTCATCCCCGAGGTGGGGAACATCGACTTTTTCAGGAATGGTCTCCCATATATTAATTTGTAAGGGCTCAATTTGAGCCCACTTCGAGGGGCTACCCAGATTCTGAGCAGGGCAATGAGGAGAACTTGTATCCAAGTGGCGCTCGTCTCCTCGTAACGTTTCGCCAAGGCCTTTTTCAGAGTATGGTTCATCTTTTGGGTCTCTCCAGTTGATTGTCACCCCTAGGCTGAGTGTACTTTCCAATTTATATCTAAAACCTTATTGACTTCTTGGGTGACTGTTGTGGTAAAAGCTTCCCTGTTGTCACTCTGTACTGAGATTAGAAGATCAAAACAGGGTATGATTTCTTTGAGTAACACCTTGGTCACTTCTTGGACTCATTCGGTTCGACAAAGGAAAAGCTTCTACCCACCCTGAGTAAGTGTCCACGAAAACCAACAGGTACCTGAAATTCCTGGGTGCCCGGGGCATCACTGTGATCTACTTGCCAGTCTTCTCCCATGTTTGTTCCTCGGTGTTGGACTCCCGTTTCCGTTGGGTGGGGCACAGTCTTTGGGTTGTTTCTTGCACATAGCTGGCATCTCTTTGTAACATCCCGGATGGTCTTTAGAAGGTTTGGCCCGGTGACGACCTTTTGTCCGAGGGTGAATTTTTCAGTTTCTTGCAGCAAGTTGCATATCGCAGCCACAGCTCGAAGACGGGGGCCATCCCCGGGCCAACGCTGTCCAACTGTTTGGAAAAATAGGCCACCGGCTGCCTGGCTGGTCCCAAGGTTTGAGTTAGTACCCCCATGGCAATTCCCTGTCTTTCATGTACAAACAATTCAAAGGGTTTTTGAAGGTCAGGCAATCCTAGCGCTGGGTTGTCATTAATTTGCACTTAATTTTCTCAAAAGCCTGCTGGCATTCTTAGGTCCATAGTAAAGGCTCTTTTTCTTCCTCTTTTAGGACCTCATATAGGGGTTTTTCCGTAAGTCCGAACCCTGGTATCCAAATCCGGCAAAAACCAACCATCCCAAGGAAACCCCTAAGCTGCCGCCTAGAGGTGGGGGGTGCCACTCACATGATAGCTTCTTGTCGATCCTGGAGGAGGCTCCGTTGCCCCTGTGATACTTGAAATCCCAGATATTTTACATGTTGTTGGGATATCTGGGCCTTTTTCTTAGAAACCCAATACCCACAGTCAGCCAAATGGTTCAAAACCAGTATAGTATTTTAGTCAGAGTATTCTTTAGTCTCACTCACTATGAGGATATCGTCCACATACTGTAGGACAAGACCCCTTTTTAGCCTTAGTGCCCTCAGGTCTTTGGCTACTATTTCCCAAAAAATAGTGGGGGAATTCGTGAATCCCTGGACCAGAACCTGCCATGTGAGATGTCTCTTAGTCCCAGTCTTGATGTCAGTCCATTCAAAGGCAAACAGGGGCTGAGACTTGGGGTGTAGAGGAATGCAAAAGAAAGCATCCTTTAAGTCCAATACTAAGAACCAATCACATTGACTAGGTATAGTAACCAAGAGAATATATGGGTTTTGGCACAATCAGATGAATGGCTTCTATTATTTTGTTGATTTTTCTTAGGTCTCGAACAGACCAATATTCTCTTGTCCCCAGTTTCAACACCGGTACAATAGGGGTGTTGTACAGAAACTGGCAAAATTTTAAAAGTCCAGTTTTTATGTATCGATGCACCAGTGGTGTGATAGCTTCTAAGCTTCTTTGCAGAGGGGATATCGTCTCTGGTTTATAATAGGTGCTCTAGGTTTTAAAGTAATTTTAACTGGAGCGGCTGACTGGGCTCATCCAGGCCTTTCTTCTGTTCAGACCTCTGGATTCACCTTTTGTTGAATATGGAAAGGAATGCCACTACGTGTCACTATTTCTTCTTGCAATAGTGTTGCCTGCAAGGCACGTGCACTTTCAGGTGGGATCTGTAGAAAATGGCAAGGAACAACTCTGCCATCCTATTTGGGTTACTCTGATAAGGAGGATTGTGATTCCTTCAATTATACAAGTCGGAGGTAGAGAAAGGAGTATGTACTAGCATTGTTCCTCCTTTGGCTGGAATTTTTCTTAGAGGAAATTGCCCTGCCTGAGCCCTGGCAGTACCCTCACCGAAAACAGTACCCTGAGGAGTGTGTGTAGGCGGGGGAAGACCATACCTGATGAAGTCGGACTCTTACTTTCCGATTCCCTTCCTTCATCAGTTTCTCTCAAGCTGGCCAGACTGGAATCAGACTCAGCCCTTTCTGTGGGGGACTCTGCTGTCATTCTTCGACCTGACCTGTCGGCTTCTACCACACCTTCTCTATATGGCGGGAGGGAGCCGAAGCAGTTATCGGGGCTATTCCTTCAAAGAGGGGACCCTCCAGTAAGGATTCAGGAAGCACTTTTGCCTTCAGCTTTTCCTGGAAAAGAACCTGGTTAGAGGGATTTAAAGTCTGATAGAGAGACATGAAAGCTGGAATATAGGCAATTTGTCTCATTTTTCTTACAAAACAAGTCAAGCTGAAAAATCGTGCCATAAGCCAAAGACCCATTTTGGAGACAATGATTCTGGTCCCCAAGCTGGTATTGGGGCTATACATTGTTGCATAAGCATATCATTCTCTTTCTTGTCATAGGCTCCTAGCTATACCGCCTCCAGTTTGTTAGAATGCAGCCTAGAGGAGATTTGGCTGGGATAGATGGACCTCCCCCCATAATAGGTGTTTGTTTATGCATAAGCAGCATCAGTAACTGATTTTCATGTGCCTCAACAGCAACTACATTTTGCAAAACCTCAGATTGAGTATTAATATAAATATAGCAGCATTTATCTATTTAGGCACAAACCATTTCTTGAGAGACTAACAGGAAAGGCTAATACTATTCTATTTTGTAAAAGCATAGCTCAAATTTCAGACACTTCTCTGGTTATGATAGTCACAAATTGCTAAGTTTGCCAACAGAACCTCTAATTCAAGAGTTACAATATCTAAACCCATTAGTTAGATACTTTAGGAGAAAGGAAAATGATTTCTTATATCTAGAAAATAGGACCTTAAAACATCAGCCATATTCCCATATAAAACTCATAGTTTCCTTTCATTTACTCAGTCTTATGTAGTTAATCTCTGATCCACGCGATTCTGGATCAGCCGCAGTCTATGAACCCATCAGCTTCTGCATAGGAGTTCTGGAAATTTTATTCAGTCTAGTCACAGTCCTTTTAGCAAGTCCAACATAGTCCATATTTTTGTTGAGATATTTTGGTCAGCAAATCAGCAAAGTAAAAACTTATCTGCAGATGACAAAACTTAATATGCCCATGATTAATTTATAAAAATAATACTCTTAACAGTGAAAGACCTGATAGAAGTTAATTACAAGTACAATGTAAACGCCAAATAAAACCAGTTTAAAAAAAAAAAAACTTCAGATAAAAGTATTTCTAAATATAATCACTAACCATATTCAAAGAGCTTCAGATGTAATACATAGTAATTTTGAGACAAAATATCATATAGTCAGGATATACCAAGAATATACCAAGATTATCAAATCTCTAAATACCTGAATTGTAATAAAAAAAAAAACTTCATATGTAGATGATGTGAATTCCCCAATCAAACCATTGGCTTTGATGATGTTAGATTCAAAAAGATAAAACTGCAACCAAATTAGCAGTAAGGGAATAATAGTCTTATAGGCCACTGTGAAATAATACTTAAGTTATTTACCCAAAGATCTTAAAGTAAAACCTTAGCTTTCTTTTCTAAAAGCCATGTGGCTTAGTATTCAGACTCAGGATCTTAATTCTAATGAGAGGCCAAACCTTTGTCTTCCAGGCAGATTACACAAAGAATAAATTAACCCTTTAACTCAGAAATTAAAGAATATCGTTATTTTAACATTGAGAAACCCAATTCTTTGTTTTATATGTTACTTAACATTAAAACTCCTAAAAATCTCATAAACCAGTAAACTTCAGTCAGATAAAACTTGAAAATGCAAAAATATATAAACTTAAATTATGACAAATATCTATTAACTTACTAACATCAATAAGTTACCCCAAATGTCGAAATTATTTTAAGCCTATATATCATAAAACGTAACAGTTGTTGAAAGGAAAGTCTATTTAAACATTCTAAGATTTCATTCAACTTTTACTACTTCTCATATTTTTCCCAGTCTAATTTTAGCCCTTAAAGATTGTATCAACTGGCTTTGGAAATCACAAAGTCTCTCTGCTCAATTGACCAGTTCATTGATATGGATATAACCTTAAGTGTCTGGCTACTGCTGGGAACATTTTTCCAGGCCACTTCAGGTGCGTCTCACTGTGATTTCTTTTTTTTTTTTTTTTGACTTCTTAAAGGTCTTTAAAAAAGTCTCCAACTAGCTGGAAAAGGGTCTTTCAAAAGCTTCCCTGAAGATATATGACCTTGGAGACTGGGACCTGGGAGGCTTGATTGTGCCCCGCCCTCACTCTCTTGACCCATGGAAGACATTTACATATGTTTAAATTGATGGAGGCATTTTCAAAGGCCATCTACCCAGTAAATAGCAAAGCTCTTTAGCAATTTTGTAAATGAATCCAAGAATTCTTGGCTTGCAGGACTAGGGAGTCATCTCAGTTTGTTTACATATGTTTAAATTGACCTAGGAATTTAAGGACAAGAGACAATTAATTTCTTTTTTACTGTTCTGGAACTGCTACTTTTACTTTAAGATAAAACTACCCTTTTTCCTTAAATAAAACACATTTCATGTCTAGCTTAAGTTACTTAGAAAGGTTTCGCTTTTAAGATTGACATAGTATAGAATATAAAGATCTTAGTGTACTTCTCAAATAGACCAAATTATATCAAAGTTTCTCCAAGTAGCTTTTAAAAAGCTAAATCAGAAGACAGACAAAAGATGCAGTTTTTTCTGGACGAAGAAAGAACTGAGGTTCTATGACTAGCCTTACAAAATACAGCAATTCTTAGCCATAGCCACCAATTTAATACAAGACAAACTTAGACACAATGCTCTAGACCAGAAGCAAGCTCTTAGAACAAAAGGAGACAGAAAGACCACATAAACTCACCAGACAATACCACACAAAACAAGAATATGGGGATCCTAGTTTCTTAAAGGGTATGTAGCAATTTTTGGTAAGATCAACTCAATTAAATGGAAAAAAACAGGTTCTAGATAAAACTTATTAACTTGCCAGAGCCTCAGATGGAGGAATATTAGACCTCGTGACAAAACCTGAGCATCAAGCAAAGTTCCCTAAGGGAAAAAACAGACAACACAAATGAAAGCTCATTTTCCCAAAGTGGCCACTGAAATTCTAAGTTACTTCTAGTATACTCAGTTTATAGCGTTTTTAAATATGAACCCCAAACCAGTGAATCAATAGTAGGGGGAAATCCAGGCTCATTTATCAAAGATGTTAAGCGATACAGTTCAAGATTTTGATTTCCTTGTTTCTGAAGCTTTCTCTTAATAGCCGAATCAGGGCACCCAAATAGATGGTATAACACTAGTTACACACAGACAATGGGCAGGACAGCCACAGAACCACAGTAAACAAATGGTCAGGACAGACACAAAACCACAGTAAATGAATAAATCCCACAAGCTGATGGAGATTTTCTTGATCCCCTTCAACCTCTCAGATGGCCTTCCTTGCCAGCAGAGGTCATCTCAGAGAATCTCAACCTCCCAGACACACTTACAAGCATTCACACACC